TTTCATTTTAAAAAAATTATTAATAAATAGCTCAATGTACTCTTTTAATACAAATACTCTATAATACTACTTTTAAAGATGGTAAAAATATTCATTATACGCCGTAAAATATGAATTACAGCAGCCTAATTTCTAATAACTCAAATGATGTTCTTTAAAGTTGCTTACTGTTTAGATCAATTATGCAGCGCAACGATCTTTCTTTGTACTCTTGATGATAATTATTTCGCTTATACCTCGACCAATGTTGATAAAAATCTTGATGAGAAGTTTCGACAGTTTGTTCACTATTGGGCCCCGAGGGGGATCCTTTGTGACTGATGAAATCCTTAATATGGTAGAAGACGGCGTGAATTTTGGGTGTTACGCTTGCACCAGTTATCATTTGGTAACAATTTTTGAAGTTTACAACTTTTTCAGCGAAACCCAGCTGAAGGATGTATTCAAAGCAAGCCTTGACAACTAAATTAAAGCTTTTGAATGCTTCAATTATGCACACAATATTGGGACCCATGTTTGTCTCAGCAAGTTGCTGCAGCATATTCACATTTTAAGAAGCTTCCTGCATTCATTACCCTCAAACTGGCCCCCGTGATACGGGCTCAGTTGAATTTTGGGGACGGCTGGCCACTTAACAGCTTCTATCCAAGCATTTTTAAGGATCTTGAAAAGATGGTTGACAACTCCTAAGAGGAGATCAGTGGAATGATTTCCAAAATCAGAACATTGACATGCCCGCAGATAATCATTTCGATTGGCTTTCGAATGACATTGCCAAACAGCTTTGCATTAGCAACAACCCCAGTGACCAGATTTGTTTAATATTGGAGTAATAATTATATAAAAAATCCGCACAAAAAGTTATTTAGATAAAAGTTATTTAAAAAATTAATATGCATTTATAATATAGGCAATTGACATCGGCCCTTTTAATTAAATTTCAATATTATAACCAAAAACATAATTTCAGTTTTTACATCAACGCATTTGAGAAACTATCATTTCAATTAACAATTAACGACGCCCGTTGCTGTTTGTTAAAAATTAAAATAATAATTGTAATAACTAAAAAAGCACTACTGGTTGTTAATAAAATTTTTAGTTCAGTTTACAATTTGACTTTTAAAACTCAAAATACATGCTCAAGGTTATGATTTTTTCATGGAGTTTTGTGGTGTTTGAGACGAGCCTCTAGTCTCTAACCACCCCGACCTCTCAGATATGGTTCCTAAAAGGAATTTTTAAATTATTTTTTGTATTAAATTATACTAAATTAAAATTTATTCACAGATGTATGATGAAAAAATTTGTTTTTTTTATTTTTTGGAATAAGGAAGAGTTTTTTGATAAAAAACAAAAAAGTGGTTGACCGCTTGCCTTGTAAGCAAGAAGTTTCAAGTTTAATTGCCGTGCTCAATTTGTTCAATTTTCGCGCTTAATTTCGTTGCGCTTCAGCCATTACCTATTTTATAGCTTCCCCAAAATTACATAACTAATTTTAAAATCTGCACAAAAAATTATTTAGATCGTTATTATAATAACTTATAAATTAAACGCGTATTTAAACCAAAACGATGTAGGGGAAAGTCGGGTAGCCCTGGACAGCGGGTAACTCCAGACACTAGATGTACAGCTTAAACTAAAGAAGCTATGTGACTTTTAATACTATAATAACATTATTTGAGTGAAAATATGGCATATGAAAAATATCTATCATAAGATGCCAAAGCAAATGACTGGGAGGGCAAGATTTTGTTTCCCATCACCAGAAGAGCAACGCATCATCATACTTGATTCACATATTAATGTACCTAATTTTTATGTAAACTAATAAATTTTGAATGATTAAAGATGCATTTTTATTTACAATAGTTATTAAAAAAAATTTCGTTTAAAACTTTAATTCACTGGTTTTAAAACTAGTATTTGTGAATGAGGTATTTTTTAAAAATACGTCGAGAACAGTCCAATGCTAAATTATTATGTATTACATAAATGTCATACTTGTAAAAAAGAGGTAAAATCATGTTTAAACTACGTGTCCGGGGCTACCCTCAAATTTTGATGCCGTTTTTGTAACATTTTTTCTTTTATGTTTTGTATATTATTAAGATACATAATAATTATTTTTTTGTTTCTAACTCAATAGATGAATGTTTGAACTTTTGAAAAAAGTCTTTTGACTCTTTGTTTTCTGTTAGCACATGAGTACAATCTATATTTTCCTTAAGTGTCCGGGGCTACCCGACTCTTCCCTAATGCCTTTTTATTTAATATAAAAAATAAAATATAATGACTCAAAAAATGTTACGAATTTTACTCTATTAACGTGCTGAGACACATTTAATTAGGGTTAAAATTTTCCGAAAAATTTCCCAAGTTGAAAATTTCCGAAAATTTTGCAACCCTACTTTTAATAAACGTCACTTCCTCCACTTCTAAAATAATACTTGCTAACTCTGTTTAATAGCTAAGAAAATGACTTTTTATGACTGAAAAATAAAACTTTTTTTAAATTCATAGTATATAATTAGTCTAGAAACTGGATCTTGTTTATAGTTGGATCTTGTATATACAGAGTTAATTGATCATGGACATTAACCACCAAGTAATAGTGATGTTCATGAAACTGAGGTATCTAAAGTATTCACTAAAAGTCATAGAAGAAAATTTTTTTAATAATGTATTCATGCTTAAAAGTTGTAATATACTTGATAAAAGAGGCACCACTCAGATAAACATAAACAAGATTGCTACTTAAAAAGTTAAAACAAAAGTACAACTTTTAGCAAGGTTTGAAAAGAATTTGAAGTTACAAAAAATTGTTTGTAGATTCCGTGGGAAAATTCTTCATCATTTCCATTAAATGAATTAGTTACATTTTATTACTAAAGACTAATATCAATTAGCAGCTAAAACGGTATCGACTGCTGCTCAACATCGACATTTTTTATCAGTAAAACCATACCTGTTAGTTTAAACAAATTCATTAGAGAAACTTGCTAGAAAAATACTTCCTTTTTTATTGCCATCAACACAGGTTTTAGCGTGTAAGTATTAAATACCAGTTTACACCAAAGGTTTTGTTTACAGCATATGCTGTGACTTGCCTTTTATATTATTTAAATGCAACGTATGCTATAGAAAATATATACCATTAACACGCTGCACATTTTTGAATAACTTATATGCGGGAAGACTTACAATACGCAGCGTAATTCAATACGTTCGTTCTTTATCTGGTTTCAAGATACTTAACTATTGGCTAAACAATTTCAAATTATGAAGTTGATAAGGGATCGTTAGTTAGCAATTAAAAAATCCCGGACTACTAACAGTTTTTACGACAGATGGAACTCCGGTCTCCGTAAAAAAACAGGGACTTGTAGACTCCGAACTTGACATCCCTACTTGCATGTCATTATTATAATATTTGTTGTGATAATGTTTTCAATTAAAATTTTTTACTTTAGTAGGATAATTGGGTTAAAAGATTGATCTTGGTTCAGAAATTATGTCATAAGTATCTTTTATATTATAGTTGTTGTTTTAAAAAAAAAACAATTCAGATTAAAGTCGCCGAGTAAAATCCTTTTTGTGTGTGTGTCGCTTTTATTCAGTAGTTAATTGTAAAAACAAGCTATTTTGATACTTAATCAATTACATGTCACTTTGATTAATACGTTTGTTCATTGAACAGATTATGTTGTTTTTGACGTCCTTAAGTATGCTTCAGTTCTGTTATCTAATTGACATCACCATTAAAATTATATCAAAAATAAACAATTATATTATGTTATACGATAAACCATATTTGTTGACAGTTTACAACTTTAAAATTCTTAGCATTATATTGCTACTTCTCTAATTCAATCTATTTCTTTTTTTGTTACTAAAGTCTTTCTTCTGAAAGTTCTTTGAATTCATTTCCAAAATCTAAGACAGAGCTCTCATTAAAACACACTAAACTTATGTGTGCACTATCTAGCTTACACATGGTTTTGTTCTGCAATTCAATCATTTGTCATTTCTTTAGAAATTGTATTTAAACTTGCCTTAAGTTATGCATGCTTAAAGGTTGCAACATTTTCAGCAGACCCTCTAGTTTTTTACCTTGTTCCTAACAAATTAGAAAAGCGTATGACATCCGTAGTGTCAAACTTCTCTTGCATCAGAGCATACAGGGCAATGCGTTACCACCCACCCTTGCGATAACTTTTAATTTAATAATAAATTACTAAGAAATTATAACCAAATCATAAGATATGAACCTATTTTTTTATTAATTACAACTTTATATTCTGAAAAGTTTTTTTTTTTTAATAATTTTTTTTTTTTTTTTAATATTTTTATTTTTTAGTTTATTTTGTTTTCTTGATTTTCTTATTTTTATTTACTGACTGATTTATATTGCTACAGACACAACATGTAAACATACATTGACTCTCTCTGTCTCTTTCTTTCTCTCTCTTTCTCTCTCTTTCTTTCTCTCTCTTTCTCTATCTCTCTCTTTATATATATATATATGTATGTATATATATATATATATATATATATATATATATATATAATATATATATATATATATATATATATGTATATATATATATATATATATATATATATATATATATATATATATATATATATATATATATATATATATATATATATATATATATATATATATGTATATATATATATACAGTGTCGGATTAAGACTTCTTGGGGCCCAGGGCTATTTTTGTTTTGAAGGCCTTTTTATGGGCCAGAGCCTAAATATGACTAAAAAAAAATTTGGGGGGCCCTCAAATTTGCGGGGCCCGGGGCTATTGCCCCCTAGATCCCCCTGGATCCAGCACTGTATTTATATATATATATATATATATATATATATATATATATATATATATATATATATATATATATATATATATATATATATATATATATATATATATATATATATATATATATGTATAATAAACTTTAACAAATAGGGTATTCGGCATTTGCTCAGTTTCCTCTCGAAGCATATTGGAACATTTCAAACTTAAGTTGGAACGTAGACACATCAGAGTTCCTGTGTCAATCAAACAAAACTCCCAGTTGTTGCAGCTGTAGTAGTACTTGCTTTTTACATAAGACATGCTGCATTGACATTTATTGGAATAAAAGTGATCCACTCCCATTGGTTGACTACATGAATAAAATTGTAAAAATATCAAAAGCTGTAAAAGATACAGTATGTGAAAGTTTAGCATTTGTTAATTTGAACCAAGGTCACGTTAGTAAGAGTTATATGATGGTTCACTCATGTTTAAAGGAAGCAAATATTGAAGATAAAAATCATTGTACCAACATAAGTACTCAAAACTTATTCGAAAGTATTCCAGTCATAGGATCTGATAATATGCTTTATAGAAATGCTGCATGCGCAAAATGTAATTTTGCAAGTTACCAAACGGTTAATTTGACAATACTCTGTAAAAAAATTGCATCTAATAAAAATTTAAAAACAACTATGAACCCTGAAAATAAAAAAAAATGGTCAGATATTTTAGATAAGTACGAGGTTTGTACTATCAGTATAGAGGAAAACAAAGATATTGAAAAATACATACTTGCATGTGATTTAAACTCAAAAACTGACTTTTTAAATTGTCCTCATGGAAATCCGTATTACGATTTATGTAATTCATATTCAGGAAAGCTTTTAAAAAAGTACAAAAATATTGACTGCTATAGATGTGCTAACAGCAATTTGGGAGATCTAAATAAAGACAACTTTATATGCTTAGAACCGACTGAAGGGCTTGACAGTGGAAATGATGGGGAGGAATTTAATTGGGCTGCGTTAATTAATATCAACGATGGGTTGATAGTAAAAAAGTCGTTTGATTCTAACTCTCCTTCTAATGGTAATGAATGCGATGAAGGTTATTACTTCGATGCATTTACTGATGAATGTGAAATAAGTGAAATAAAAAATAAAAATGATAACTTAAATTCATCTGAATCATTCGGATTAAAATGTCACTGGAATAATTATTTGCGCAATACTGACACAGAAAGTTTTAATGACTGCTTATTTTCTCAACAACCCGCGTTATTTGTGCTTGTAAATAAAACTACTAATTTCACTGCAGTAAATGAAATATTTTTGGAAACAATAAACTCCTCCCTCGTCATCTCTTCAAGTAACTTAAAAAATAAAAATTATAAAATACTTAGAACAAACGGGGGTTTTACATTAGAAAAACTACAACCTGTTAAAAAACATCAATCAATTATTTTCAGTTATGCAACTTCGGCGTTAATATCGTCAATAAAAAATCAAAAAATCACCGAAATGTATGGATTTGATTTAACAAGAAGCTATAAAGGGAAAAAAATTTGTGCGCAACCAGAAACTATCCAGGTTTTTGATAAAAACTATTCTGCATCATCTTTCAACTCCGTTCATTATAATATAACTGATGAGGAGATAGTACTCTGGATTGATATTGCACCGTCTGGAATAGAAAAAAAATATATCAGTTACTGCAAAGTTTTTCATTTACAACAACAGTGTTCTTACAATGTAATTAAAAATTACACTTTAGAACTGAATCAAACCATTTTCTACTACGATAACGGTAAACGTTATACTTACCTCCCAAATGAATACATCCCACTTGCAAATGGTGTTGGAGTATGTAAAGATATCGACAATAACATTGCTTTAAAATGGAAAACTAAAGTTTTGAACGTGGCAAACATTGTTTCAAATATTGTAACATTAGCAAGTGTACTGTGTTATTTAATAATCATAATTGTTTACACGTACTTTCAAGAACTTAGAACATGGTCGAGTGTGACGTCAACAACGTTATGTATAAACTTATTTTTTGCTGATTTTACCTTCTTAATTTCAACTATAGTCTACAAAAATAGAATATGGTGCGAAGTGTTCTCTATACTTTTACATTGGTTTCTATTGGTAGCATACCATAGTCTCCTTATCTTAGCGCTTGACGTGGCTACTACGTTCGGTTCTTATAATCATCAATTTTCAAAACGCAAAAAGTTAATTCAATACTTTATTGTAATTTATGTTATACCATCAATATATTTATTTATAAATGTTACTTTGGAAAAAACCGATGTTGCGTATATAGGCTATGGAGATGGAATTTGCTGGATTCGAGGATTTTATGCGAAGCTTTTCTCTTTTATAATTCCAATCGTAATTATTATTTTAACATCGTTAATATGTTTGTTGTTTACTGTTTATAAAATCACATTGTCAGAAATAAAAACCAACAAAGTATTAGGAGAAGGCAGAACATTTCAAGTGAATGTTGCTAAGGTAACTTTAAAACTTACATTAATACTTGGAGTAATTGAGTTACTTGGTTTTGTTCAAATAAGTAAATCATCGTTGTCAGAAAGAGAAGAGACCTTTAATACCATTGTTGCAGTTATATACATGCTTTTTAGATCTGCTAAGGGTATCTTGTTGTTTGGTGCTTATATTTGTATTCAAAAGGTTCAAAAAATAGTTACAAAATCTATTCCGTTCTTTATAAACAAACGTCAAGGTGCTTACACAAGGGAAGAAAAACATTCTTTAACAGCTTTAAGCTCAGTATCATAATGAATATTCTTTTAATCAAAAACGTATACTTACTTTATAAAAATATAACAACGAGGAATAGAAAATTGTATGTAACAAAAACAAATATATACATTTATAGAATTTATAAAATTAATTTTTGATTAATTTTTAAGTTCTATTTTAGTTATATTAAATAAATTTTTAATTTCACATTTCTTGAAGAAATTTTATTTAATTATTTATATAAATTAGGCTTTCTCTTTAAGTAGTTGTTGTTGTTTTGTTTGTTTTTATTATTTATGCATTTTTTATTACTCTAATAAATGCGTTCCCTTCCAAAATATATATTTAGTTTACAAAATGTAATATAAAAATACAATAAAAGTAACCAAATACATTCATAATAAGATATTAAATAACATACAGACTCTCAGAAGATTTTACTGTCGATTACGAAGTTCTTTATTGTCGAGAACAATGTTCTTATCGTCAAGAACGCAAAAAAGAAACAATTTAAGTTAAAGGTTATCTCATATTTTTTAAAAAATGGAGAAAAATTTCTGTATTACTGATACGGAGTTTATCATTGAATGTGAATTTGAAAACCATTTATTAAAATAAGAATTTGTTCTTGAGATTGAAAACGTTTCTTCCAACTGATAAATTTGTTTTGCTTAGCATCATGCAAAGCAAAATATTTTTAATAAGAATTGCATGTTTTTATATTATCGTTATCATATAAATTTTTCAAATAATATTGTCATCTAATAAACTTTTTAGATTATGGGTAAATCATTTAATAAGAAGTTCACGTCTCCTTCCATACCAATGTCGCTTGTAGGGTTAGAGCTGGCGTCAAACCTCGGACCTTTGGATTTTAAGCCAGAACTCTAACCACTGCACCACGGCTGCTCAAAAATGTTTTGTGCAGTTTTTGTCCAAGAATCAAGAATACATGATGTTAGTAATGCAAAGACATTCACATTGTAAATAAAAGAATAATTTTTTTTCAACGCATGCATGTGGTCAGGATATTTCGGGATTTAAAATATATACATCTTTAATGAATGTTTCCATACCGATGACTAAAACACACTTATAAAAAAATATTTAAATATATCTCTGATTGTGTTGAAAATTTGCAAAGGAGACAATAGTTGATGCTGTTTGTTTATTCGTCTTCAAATATTTTTAATACTTCAGTATTAGTTGGTGAAAGCTGGCAACACCGTAATCCTAATGCATTTTAAGTATGGAAATTATCACATTCATGTAAATTAAATTATTGTAGCTTCTGGTATGAAAGTGATTGGTGTGCAAAGAATATTTAGCCGTTTAATTTCATAAGGTATGTAAACTATTATTGTAATAGCGAATGGAATTATTTATACTGGTATAACGGTATGTAAATTAGAGTGTGTTTGGTATGTGCAGAAGCGTATTGGCAGTTGATTAAAAATTGAAAATAAAACTGTTAAAGTTGTATCAGTTTTTAGACCGCCAACAAAACTATTGTGATATTGCTGTTAATCGAATGACCAATGATTTAAAGTGTATAAAAAAGACCATACTTTCAACATTGTTTCATATAGCATCTTCAGTTGAAATTAACTGACTTGCTCATTGCTATAATGCTATTAATAAATCTACAAGCCAGGAAACCCTAACGAATTTGAAGCCACTCTCAGACATCACTTTTTTCAATTCTGTATAACATTTTATCCAGATTTGTGGCTGGATACCTCAGTTGTTTATAGCGAAAAACGAAACTTTAAAATACTGGACTGTTGTGGGGTATGTCCGCCAAGTCAGCAGACATTCCACAGCAGCTAACTGTTAAGATGGATTTTTTTTCACAAATTGAGGGTTTCAGACTTTATTTAGTCAATTTTTAAATGCAAAGAGATTATTGTATAAAACTAAAGGTTTATAGATGAATAGAAATTCATTTGAGAATACTAAAAAAATATTTATCAACTTGTTGCTCTCACGTTTGGGGCAATTAAGGCAAAAACTTTTGGTTGTTTCTGTTCCCAGACTCCAATCATAGGAAATATTTTGAAAAATATCCTTAATACCCGTTTCTTAAACTTAAAATATAGTAATTTGTTTAAAATGTCTTTTAATTCACAAGTTAAAATGTATTTAAGAGCCCGAGGCCATCATTTTAAAACCGAAAATTTTTCAGCGCATGCGTCCAACACAAGTAGAAACAATGGTCAACTATGTACATTAGATCTTTAGCTAGTAAAACAGTACTGGATTTCTAATAGCCTAATTACTACTTTTGTACTACAACGTTAGCGTTTTGAAGTTCAAGAGTGTCTGGCAAGGAGTTGCTGCTATCATAAATCTAAAAAATCACTTCTTTTAAAGTTAAGCAACCTAATTTTATATTATTTATTTAGAACTTTCTGTACCAAAAAGTTGTTTAAATATTAGCTTTGTATTCAAAAAACTTTGTGAAAAAAAAGAGAAGACTGAGAATTAATACAAGAAGAATCAGTTTATAGTTGCATCAAGAAAAACTAGTCTTTGTACTTTGGTGTTTATGAATAATCAAGCATTTGTGGCAAAAAATAGAGTTTCTTATCCAGATTTTTGACTTAATAAGTATATATTATTGAGCCAAATATTTCATACATACATAATAAAGATTTAAAAAATTCAATTTAGACATGAAAGAATTATTTGCAAGTTTATACTTTGTTTGAATGGAATTACTGGTGAGGATTTAAATGGTATTACTGGTGAGAGTTTATTTAGTATATTACTAAAAGTTACTTCTGATTTTTCTTTGCACTTTATAAATTGTGAAATCATGGCATGGATACCTACAGAAGTTATTTTTTCCGGCTGTTTTCTGTCTTGAAGAAATAACTTTAAATATCAATAGAACATTTAATCGTGTAATTTCTGCTACTGCTTATTCACTACTGAAGTTTTCAACAAGTTTTGGTTTTATTGTTTCAGTGTTTGTCTTGTTGTTGCAGTGTTTGATTTGTTGTTGGAGTATTTGATTTTATTGTTGCAGTGTGTATAACGATTAATGTTTATGATTTAACTTTTTTAAATACCAAACTGTTGCAGGCAAGTAGTTATAATATTTTTTATAGCCTGAATCTTATTCAGGCATAAAAAGATGTTTTTTCACTTAAAAATATTTTTGTTCAATATCTTCAAATGTGTTATAAACAAGGTTAATTATTTTTACAAAGAGGAGGTCAAAACAAAAAAATGGAAGGTGATTCTGTAATCATTTCCTGTAACCAAGTATCCTAAACACTTGCAAAATGTCAAGAAGTAAGTGGTTTTGGTGGAGAATCAGCACCTTAACGATTTAACAAAATATTCTGTTCAAAATTTTAATTTTTTTTTATTTTGCATTATCATTCGACTTAATTTATGTGTTAAAATACGTAATTTGATTTATATTTTTTATAAACCAAGTGCAAATGATTTTTGATTTTTTATATATAAGTATAATAACAATTACATAACAATATATACTAGCAAAAAGCAACCCGTAATAAGGGTTATGGTCGGTCTGTTACATAACTAAACTATAGTGGCTGTTTTCCACGTGTGGAAATATAAAATAGAGGCTGTTCTAATGTTGCAAAAACTTAACTAATACCCTTTTAAAAAAACGTCTTCAAATTGAAAAAAATTATCCATCTGTAAAATTAACATAAAAATTATGAAAAGGTTAAGTAATTTACCAATTATTATTTGACATTGAGTAATTTACAACTGACATTGGTCATAACAGTGTAAGGCAGAACCAATTTCCTTGGTTCTGCCTTACACTGTTTTACAATTTTTTGGTATCCCCTTGATTAATTTTTCTTTTGAAAAGAAAATTGTAAACTTAAAACATTAAATGCACACAACAAAATAAATTTGTTAAAAATAACTAAGTTTATTATAAATAACTAAGCAATTGAGTACAAATACGTTTCAAACAAAAAAATTTAATTTACAATTAAACAAGTGTATAACAAATAATATAAAATATGTAAACTTTGATCTTTTATATTGCATTAATGCGTCATATGACAAACCTAAAATAAAAATTGTAACAGATAAGTAGATTTAAAAATTTGTAAACCAAACTAACCGGACCCGGGGATCTTGTTAAGCCTGCTCAACACAGACCATTTCTATATTATTTGTTTGGCCTCTTTAATCCATTAATTTTTAGTAAACATTAATTTGCCACCATTTACTAAAAATTTCTTTTGTTACTCAAAATTTAATTTTCCTAAATATTTTGACACTTATAAAGAGGTTCTTCCCCTCTTTTTGCTTTAATGGTGGCCAGGTGAGTAGATTTTTTTTATTAAGAGTAATCAAGTTTTTGATGAAGACCTTTTACCAAAATAATAAAATGTAAAACAATGATTTACATATATATAAATGTTTTCTTTCTTTCCTCAAAAGTGTTGCAAGTGCCAACTAATTAGTTAAACACGTAAATAAAATCAAGGTAACTCGTGTAAACTTATGTAACGTAAATTAAATTTAAGTAACTCGTTTGACAAATGCGCAAAACTATAATATTCTCCATGTTTTTAAAGGTTCTTAGTTACGACCCTCCATTTACAAAGATCCCCTAATATACGTACAACAAACTATTAGGCATAAAATAGATAAAATATAATAAAAAATTGAACTAATTGCATATATTTATGTCTTTTTAACTAACAAAATTTTACAATAAAAGGAAATTAGGTTTTTTTTTTTATAAATCTTATTAATGCATCATAACGTAAATCTAAAATAAAAAAGTAATAGAATTATGATATCATAATTACAAAAAAAAATTAAAAAAAAAACAAAACACCACATACAAACTGAAAATCAGTTTACCTATTTATAGTAACTTAATTTGAAATTGCAGTTAATATAAAATTTTATCGAAAATGTAACTATAACATCTGTTTCGAAGTACTGTTTGAGAAAATAAATTGCATTTTTAGCAAAATATTGTCTTGGCTTTTAATAAATTAATAAAAGCAGTGATAAATAATCCAATAATGACGCTACCTATTATTCATTTTTAACAATAGACACCAACGGGAAGGTAAGCCAAGCTGTCTATCAACACAAAACATCACAACAATAACATTACAACAATAAAACATAACAATAAAATCTAGTGAAAATAACAAGCTAAGTTAAAATATGAAAGGCAAAATTAAAAAACAAATTTAGAGTTAACTATA